AATATGTGATAACATTCTTCAGTTGCGGGGCCAGAGTTGAGAGTTGTACGAGCTGTGAACCACACAAGTCATAGTCAATCACGTTGTTCATAGTAGTAAGCTATGATGACATCGATAGAACGCAACTACCGGAGTCGGGAGTTGCACGAGCTGTCAACCACGTAAGTTGTAGTTAGTCACGTAGGCCATTTCGGTGAGATGTGATGATGTTTGTTGGTCGTGGAAATCAAATCTGGGAGCTACATGAGTTGTGATCCATGTAGGCTACAGTTGATCACATAGGTCGTATTGGTGAGCTGTGTAGATGTTCGTAGGCTGTAGTGGTGAGCCGTGTTGATGTCCATAGGCCGCGAGGGCCAGAGCTGGGAGTTGCACGAGCTATGAATCACGAAGGCCTTAAAGGGTTACGTAGGTCGTAATAATGAGTTGTGATGACATGCATAGGCTTCGAAGGCCAAAGTCGGGAGCAACATGAGATGTGGACCACGTAGGTCATAGTTGATCATGTAGGCCGCAGTGATAAGTTGTGATAATATGGGGGTCAGAGTCGAGGGCTACATAAAAGGAGCTTTAAGAGACCGAAGAAAGTCTCTTCGGCATGCATTGTTACACCGTTATTGGGAGTTGTCGTTGCACCGTATGTGGCGAGTATTGTTACATTGTCATCGGGGTATGTCATTGTACCGTATCCGGGGTATGTTATTAAGTCATTTTCGAGAGGTGTCATTACACTGTATTTGGGGTGTGTTGTTATATCGTCTACGAGGTGTTTCATCATTCTGCAACGTACGTTAGGATTTCACAACGCACATTGTGACATCACACGAGACTTCACTGCAAGGAATAGGTGAGGGTCAATGATGGACGATGGTGGTCGACAAGTGGTGGTCAGAATTGGTTGGTTGTGGAGGTTTTCGGAGAAAACAACGATCAAAGTTGGCTGGAGGAGGCTGCGGAGTTGGCGACGATGACTGTCAGAGGCGGTGACGGCCAGAGATGGCAGACAACGATGGAGTGCGAAGCTGGTTGGCGAATGTGACTGATAGAGTTGGCGAGCGGCATGGATTGGAGTCTGCAGCAATGCTAGAAGCTAGTCAAAGGTTTGCGACAGCGACCAACATTGTTGGAGATGGCGTCAACCGGAGTTGGGTCACGGCGTTTGCAGAAGTTGGCGGCCATGGCTGTTGGAGCGGTGGTTGACGGTGTTTGGCGGTTGCATGAGTAGAAGGTGTTCGTCGAATCGTCAGTGCAGAATCCTGGGCTTCAACTCCCTCTTTTGCAGGCTTTGGTCTTTCTCTTGCCCAGGGTCTAGTCCCCTTTTTATAGAGTTAAGGGTGCAATTAGGAGAATCAAGACCACTCTTGATCGGACAACTCGATTCTTTGATTTGACGGGATTTGATGTATATTTGAATGTCTTAATGATGTAAAAATTGAGCGATCTTGGGCATGTTAGATTCATCTCCTCGAGACGCTCGATTTGACTATAAACATGTTATTTTCAGAATTCATTTGACCTTTAAATTATACATTGAAAGTTTCCAAAAGTGGTTTATTGGCTTGATTTGACTCGGATTTGACCAATTTTGGTATCATTGGGTTCGTCTCGTCAAATTTTGGATGTCTTGTAATCAAATTTTGATTTTTTTCTTATCTCGAGATATGCATCATGTCTCGAGATTCATGTTGGATGATAAAAATTTGTTGATAGCGTATCAAACATTTGGATACAAATTATATTGGAAGTGCATAAAAATTATTTTCTTACTTTAACATTAGTACAACAAAAAATATTTGTGTATATATCACTAATTTGTTGTGGTTTTCCGGCGCATCTTGATTTTTTTTTTCTCTTGTCCTTTGTGTTTGATAAAGATAACAGCTATCCTCCACAACTTCTTTCTTCCTTTACTTTCCTTTACATTCGAATTTATGTTCAATTTCTGGATCTGATTTGCTCATTCTTGAGGTTGGCGCAGCTCCAACAGATGTTGCGGAGCAAAATGTAGAAAATGTGGAAGGAAGAAGAAATGTGGATCCTTTATGTGGGTACGCATCTAATCCTTACCACAAGTGCACAGATTTCTGCGCTCGAAAGAACTCAAATCAGAAAATCTCACCAAAAAGAGCTAAATCAGGTGATCCCCCTTTACATCTTCTTTTTTCGCCTTCTTTTTGCTGGAATATATAGCACATTAGTTGGAAACAAGGTGAAGAATCTCAAGTTGCCAGGTTTGACCCTTACCTTGCCTTAAAAAAAAAGGGGCATTTACATACATACCTATAAAAGAGAAGCAAAAAATTAAATATTGCGGAGAAGAGAATGTTTAGGTGGATGAGTGGCTTTACACTCAGAGACAAAATGCGAAACTGATATATCTGTGGCTCCAGTGGCTGACAAAATTAGCGAGTGTTGTCTTAGATGGTGGTCACATTAAACATTGACCATCTAACGATCCGTTTAGAAGAGTAGATTTTTAGATTCGACTTACATTAAGAAAGGTAGATGTAGACCTAAAAAGGCCCGGACATATTATATAAAAATGATTTCAATTTATTAGTATTAAATGAAAATATGACACTCAATAGGACTCGGTAAGGAAAAATGATTCATGTAGCCGACCCCACTTAGTGGGATAAAGGCTTGTTATTGTTGTACATATCTCACAACTAAACTTTCAGATTTACACACATAGCACTCAAATCTTTAATATCACCTAAAAATAGCATTGCTACCACTTTTAATGTATAGGTTTAAAACTCCAAAGTGTTATGTCATGCATGTGCTACCTATATATATATGTTTCCCAAAAGAAAAAAAAAATGTTATTTTCTGGCGTTTTCAATCATATAGTTAGCTGAATTAGTAGTCCAATATGATTGAAAGTATAAAGGAAGCCTCTTGCATTCTTCCCTTTATGTCTTAAGGTTTTTTCAAATGGTTTAAATTATTTAGAACACTGAGATATCATTAGATTTTGATGTTTTTTTTTTTCTTCATTTTGATTTGCAAAATAGAAGGAAGAAAGGAAGGATTAATGACTGTGAATACTAATAATGTTAATCCAACCTGCTCATATGCTTCTAATCCCTACCATCAATGCACAAAATACTGTTCTCAGAGGACCAAAAAAAAGACTGAGGTCAAGCAAGGCAAGCTAGGTTTGTTCTAGTTTTTTTTTTTTTTTTTTTTTTTTTTTTTTTTTCTTGGTCCTTTACATGCATACCACCCAATTCTTATGTATTTACATATCGAACACCTAAATTTACCTTTTACATTTATACCAGCCTATCTTTTCATAGTCACATAAAAAGTGCCACTTTTTTTTTTACTTTTAAAAAGTTAAACACAACTTTTCTTGCATATATAAGGTGTATATAGATGTAAAAATTGAAATTTAGGTTTTATATATGTAAATACATAGGAATTAAGTGGTACGTTGTAAATATATATATATTGTTTTTAAACTTTCTTTAGCTCAAATTAACAGGAATTGCTGCATTTGTGAGCACAGAAAGAGGCAGCAGAGGTTTAGGGGTGAGAGGGAGGAAGAATGTGGACCCTAAATGCAAATATGCATCAAATCCATACCACAAATGTTCTTCCCACTGCTCCCTGAAGATCAACCAAATGACATAAACACACATTAATACAATTCAGGTTGGCTTTTTTGCATGTATTTGTTTCTCTACTTTTTATGCTTTTGTGCTTCATGTTTCTATCTTGAACATAGGAGTTTATTCTTTTATTTGGGCTATTATAAGTTAATTTTGAAGGTATACTATTGCTTTCATTGGTTAGTACATAAAAGAAGCTGTTGAAAATGGTTCAGAAAATAAACTCATAGTTATCATATTTCAAATCTATGGAGTGAGGTTAAATATATTACAGAAATATTTACATACATACCTCTCAGTTCATTTGTGTTTAAATATCAAACACCTTAACTTCAATTTTTACGTACATGCCGACTCACCTATGCATGAAAATATGTTTTTCAATTTTTAAAGCAGAAGATCTGATATTTTTTATGTGATATTAAACATTTGGGCGGTATAAATGTAAAAAAGTAAAGTTTTGGTGTTAAATATGTAAATAAATAGACATTGGGTGGTGATTATTAAAATGCACATTATCCTGATTTTATAGCAAAATGTGCATTACCTATGCAAGTATTTTAAATTAGTTTATTACAGGTGTGATGTCATGATAGTAAATGTGATGAAGCTTGTTATTCTCTACTTCTTTATTACTATTAGCTGATTAACATAAAATATATTTACATCCAAACTAAAAATTCATAGTTTAGGAAAATAATTTTAACTATAATACAATTGATTTGGCTCTAAAAATCTGAATTTCTCATAAAATGCAATATGTGTGGTAGAGGACTAAGGGTCTGTTTGAGGCAGCTATAGTTTATTGATTAATCTGTTGATAAGCTGATTAAAAATAATCTG